GAGAGAGAGAGAGAGAGAGAGAGAGAGAGAGAGAGAGAGAGAGAGAGAAGAGCTCTTTATGGAAATGTAAAAGGTCATTTCCAATATTCATATGTTCTTTCCTAATTCTGGGTATAATTCTTTGCTCCAGGCAAATGTGTAAATTATTGTTCAAGTTTTTTTCTCACAAGGCCTTACATGGCTACCAGGGTGCATAGCTTAAACTTCTGTTCCTCTCAAGAGGAAAGGGACTAGCACCAGCTATTGATAGTGCACAAGTGGGTACGTTGTTTTCATCATTGTTTTGATGCCTTCAAAGAGGACCAGATTAGATCCTACATTGGGATAGGGTTACTATGAACACAGAAAACATTGCCACTTTCAATCATTCTGGAATATGGCAATTCTAAGGTAGGGCTGCACTCAAGTGCATTTCCAATGGAGTCAGAGGATCTATGCAATGGGAGGGCAGATCTAGGGTTAAGCAGAGCAGTTCCCAGGAGCAGACTCCTAGGTCTCCTCCAGCATGGTTATATTTAGTCTTCATGCTTCCTTTCTGCCGTGCTTCTTTTTCTTATCTCAAACCAAACTTGATAAAGCTTCAGTAAAGCCTTAACAAACTATTCATAATCTCAGCTATCACTGTTTGGGATGGATGATAGGGTCGATATTCAAGTTAAGCGAGGCAGTGTGGGGAGAATAATAGCAGCCTGTCTTGTGACCAGAGTGTACAACTGCAGAAAGAGGAAATAATCACTTGGATCCTTAAGTGAATGCCAGTGAGTGAAAGGTGAGTCGCAGAATTAGTCTGTGAAGTGTGTGCTTCTTGGAGTTTCTCAGAAATACCTAGGGGTAGAAGCCTGATAGAAGACCCTGCTTTCTGCATTTAGGAGAGATGAAGCAGAGAGCACAGTTATTTGATGAAGAAAGGGGTGTGCAAGATTTAGAAATTAGATTACAAATGTATTCTTTCTAATCTTTGTGATTATGCAAGATAATTTTATTGTCTCAGGAAGGTGAGGCTCAGGGACACACCTAGTCCAAGGCAGAATGGGCTCACGTGTAGGTCTGTGTTTCCTGGACCCAAGCTCATTCTGTTATGTCACACTGCTTCCTTGAGTGACCCATTTGCAAGCCCTTAGAAAATGGAAAGCTGGGTCATTTTCTTTCATTCAGGAACTAGACTTCAGGGAACAGCCCCAGGGATAGAGCAGATGACACTAAAAGGAAAAGGACCTTTTCTTCAGAAGAAACTGAAGCCTCTTGTGCCATCCTTGAACTCCTGCTTCCTTAGCTCCAAATCCACCAACTCTATGTCCGTTTTTATCTCCACCTCCACCTGTAGAGCTCCCTTTTCCTATTTAAAGCTAAATCTCTGCATGAGCCTCTGAATGCGTCCTCCTCCTTTGTCTCCAGACATAATCTTTCCACCTAACCCATCTCTTGAAGCTAAATCTTCTATCACAGAACAGTTAATTTGTCCCTGTTATTATCTAATGTTCTGCCAAGTACATTATATTTGTTAACTCTACGTCCTCACAGGCCAACGACTACTCATTTCATTCTCCACCAACTTCTACCTCCAGTTCCCTATTATTGCTCATGTCATCATAACATTCTAATGTTACTTTTTAAAGGGAAATTTCATACACATATAGGCAAGTGTTTGTGTGTATAGTGCGAAAAGTGAGTGCGCCGTGAATGTACCCATGTATCCACCATCGGTAAAGAAATGGACACGACAAGCACCCTGAGGCTCTGCACCATTCTCCTGACCATTATTTCCTTCTTACTGCTAACTGTCACACCACCCTGACTTCTCATACCTTATAATAGTTTTAAACAGTCTATAAATGGAAGTTTATTTCATGAGGTCTTTGTGTCTGGCTTCTTTTGCTCAACATTATGTTTATGCAATGCTATTCTGTGTTGCAATAGTTTATTCTTTTTTTTTTGGAGACAAGTTCTCACTATGAAGAGCAGCTCAGGCTCGTCTTCAACTCACTATGTAGCCCAGGCTGGCCTGGAATCTTGGAGATCCTCTTGCTTCAGCCTCCTGAATGTCACAATTACAGGTGTGTGCCACCATTTCAATCTCATTCACTTTTATTAGTTTAAATAAGGGTCCCATTCTCCATGAATATCCTTGTTCTTGTCTTGATGTACATATGCACCCTTCTTCATTTTTTTTTTAATACTTGGAAATGAACATAGGACCTTTGCACTGAGCTACATTCCCAACCCTTTTCTTGTTTTTATTTTGAGATGTGATCTTGCTAGTCATTAGATGGCTAATCTCAAACTTGTGATCCTCCTGATACAGCCTCCAGAGTTTTGGGATTACAGATGGGTACTGCCATCCCCGGCTCATCTACCTTCTGTTGTTAAAAGATGATAGTTTGTTAAGCAGCACCATTAAATAGACTAGGAAAATAAGAGTTAACCAACTGGACAAGTTTATCTCCAGCAACTCCTGGGCTTACATGGAGGATCATAAGACATGTGTGCAGTCAGGCGAAACCACTTGGGGAAGAGCTGTGTCTTGGAGCACAGGAATCCAGAGAACAGGGAACAGAAATGGACTGTGTAATTAAGTGCAAAATTGCCTACACCCCAAGTAAAGGCAACTTTTAGAATCCTGTGGGTTAGGAGTAGACGGTTTAATACCAGGGCTGGCTTCCCAACGCGTGTTCATCTTCATCTGTGACTAGGGAGTCATCTAGAGGCCAAGCTTGGCAACAGGGAAGAGGGCACCAAGACTGGGGTCATTTCCCTGGAGCTCAGGCACATCTCTGTCAGGCTGTCCCCTTACCTCTCCCTCCCACTGCTGACACTGAAGCTGAGCGCCAAGTGCACAGTGAGACCTCAGACTGGCTTCCAGCCCTCACAGATAGGGATGGCCAGGGACTGGGAAGCCAGGGCAGCTCCTGATGGAAACAGGTGCGCTCTCAAAACGTCCAGGTGGGCAAAGGAAGCTTGATGTCCACACACAGGTGAAAATCAGCGAAGGTGAGAGGAGAGAGGAAGGACTGGCAGGCTGCTCCGGGATTTAGAATTGGAAGGGGTGTGGAGACAGTTGCCATTAACAGTAAGTCCCTGGATTTGTAGCGCTGAATAACTTACAAAAAGCTGTTTCCTGACTTCAGCCTCTTTCTGGGAAGCAGAGGAGGGGTTGCCCTTGTTTTGCTGATTTATGGAAAAACAAGTTTGAATGGAAGGCAGCGCTAAAATCCTAATCTATGTCTCCAGTCCCTCCTCAGCAATCCCAAGGTGAGAAAATAAATAGGTTAGGAGCCTTGGAAGTGAGCTGAGGCCACCGCTGCAGTCTCGGGGCGAGAGGTGAAGGGGCGCGAAAGGTGAGGGCTTTGGGAGGCGGGGGCACCTTCAGACACTACCAGAGCATTTGGGGTCTGGAGTAGGGGTTCGCTGCGTTGGGGCTCAGGGACGATGGCAGAGAAGTGACCTGCCTGTCTCTCGGACGCCGTCGAGCGCCCTCTGTCACCCCAAGCCGCGGTGCCCGGGACACGGACCGCCCAGGTGCGCCAGGGTTGGGCCATAGCCCGGAAGGTGCACCGTCCCGCCCCAGGCCGGTCCCCGCTGCCTTCCCCCCGCATGAAAGTGAAAGTGTCGCCCCGCGGAGGTCAAGGATTGGGGGCGGGGCCGGAGCGGGCGCAGGGCACTGGAGGGGCCATGGATGGGCTCGGTCGCCGCCTTCGAGCCAGCCTGAAACTGAAGCGCGGCCGAGGGGGTCAGTGCTGGGCAGGGCGCACGGGGGGCAAGGGCGCGCAGGGGCGAGGGGATGCGGGGACAGCGCGGGAGGTGGGAGCTGGGCTAGAGGTTGACAAGGGCTGGTGACTAGGGCAGGTTGGCACAGGCGTCCGGATCCGGGAACCGCTGGGCCGGGTGGGGGGCAGGTGAGCCGGGAGAGCGCAGGTAGAATGAAAGGCATCAGGTGGGGACCGGGGTAGAGGTCAGCGGAGGGCCCAGGCCTGCAGAGGCCAGGGGGAGGCGTCCACCCGCCCGGAGGAAACCGTTTAGGGGCTACAGGGCCACGTGTTCTTCCATCCAGGAAGCCTGTGGTGCAACCGCAGCGCTCCGAAAGCGCCCCTGCAGCTGTGCCCTCGCGGAGGCGTCCGCCCTGCCGCAGTCGCTGCCTCGGCCGGCTGTGGCCTTTGCCCAGTTTCTGGGAGAGGACGTCCCTCCGACTCGCAGTTGCCACCAGCCTCAAAAGCTGGTCTCCCTGACAACCTGGGTGCCGGGTGCCCTGCAGAGGCTGGCGGTGGCTGCGTCTGAGCTGCTCAGAGACAGCCTAGCTGCTTCTGCAGAATGTGATCCGGCCAACTTTTCCTGCTCCTCAGCCCCTTCAGTAAAATGAATCATCCCATAATCCCCTTGCCCAGCAAGTGGGGATTAAATAGGAGGCAGATGTTAGTTTCTTTCTTTCTTTTTTTTTTTTTTTTTTTTTTTTTTTTTTTTTTTTTTGCCGAACCAGGGATTGAACTCAGGCCCTTGTGCTTGCCAGGCAAGCACTTATTCTACTGAGCTATCTCCCTGGCCCCGTTAGTTTCTACCTGTGCTCTTCGCAGGAGTCTTGGGTGGGCTTTGGGAGAAGGCACTAAGGATTTCATTCATTTATCCATTCATTTATAGGGGTGTTGGTGCTAGTAGCGAGTGGATCCTATAGCTGAGTGGCTCCTACTCTTTTGACACTTTACCTAGAGGCGGGGCTTCTGAAGAGCAGAGGACTGGAAAATGAGCAGAGATCATTCCAGGCAGCCCAGTCCTTCAGGGCTGGCGGTTCTAGAACCCCGTGAATCCTTCTTCTACTCTAAGTCCTGGAGTTGGGGAAAGCCCAGGAGTTAGGCCAGGGCTCCCTCTCTGAACTGCACCAACTTCTAAGTACTCTGCCCTTGCTCTGTTCCCATTCCTTCTGTCACCCCTGTTTCTTCTTCAGCTCTGCTGTCTTCTCCAGAACCTGGCTATTCCATCTAAGAGAGCTCAGACACTGACTCCCTCTGGTCCGACTTCGCTTCCCCTGGCCTCTCAGACCCCTACAAATCTGTTGAATGAATAGGGTCTGCTTACTGCAGCCTAGGTGAGACATTTCACTTGTCCCACCATCCGTCCCCTCAGTGTAGGGCAGGTGATTGTTTGGAGGACTGCCCTAATGCTTGAAGAGCTGGGAGGTGGGCAGTCTGTCTGACCTATGATGAAGTGTAGTGCTTGTCAGGCCAGGAGAATGTTCTGCCTTCATCTTCCACTCTATCCTTCACCTTTCTGGGGATTTTCCCTTTCTTGTTTTGCTTTGCTTTTCTGGCCCAAGGGCAGTTGTGTGTTAGAAGTGTGCATGTGTGCGAGTGTGTGTGTGTGCACAAGAATAATCATTCTGGTCAGGTGGAGTGTTGTGGTTCTGGGTTGAGAGAATCTTAACTGAGAGAGGAAGGCACAGCTGGCTTTTCATAGTAGGTTCCAGGAAGTCTCCTCACCTATATTTGAATCTAGCCAGTTCTGAGGCTCTGCCAGGAGCTTGTGGGAGGGGTTTCTTGATGGAGGAACAAGTGTAACCAGCCTCCTGACTTCCTTAGAAAGGGTGGTTCCCTCACCAACTCAAACTCGGGTAATAATTCCTTTCCAGGACTGTGGGGAAGGCATGAGATGTTATATGAAGCAAGAGTTTGATGGATGTTAGTTTTCTCTTATGAATTTTCTTCAGTTGAGAACCCCTTTTGTAAGAGGTGGGGGAGATAGTAGTATCCTACTGGATTTCCCAGCCTTAGTCCTGAAGTCTAGTGACATTTTCTATCTATTGAGGATTTCTGAGCTTTCTTGCATCTCCTAATATATCAGAAGGAAATAGGCAGAAAATGCTGCCCAAAAGATTTAGGAAAGGGCATGATTTTCTGAGGTTCTGTGACCATCAGTGAGAAGATTCTGTGGGATGCACCCAGAAGGCAGAAGGCTGGCCATAAAGCTTTCATGAACCTACCCTTAAAAGATCCTGTGTATTGTACTGTATTGTATTTATTTATTTATTTTCATTTTATGTTTTTGGTACATGATCTCACTACACAGCTCCAACTTGTAGTGATCTTCCTGTTTTCAGCCTCCCCAGCTCTGGGGTACAGGTGTGCACCACCACGCCAGGACTCAGTCACCAGCTCGGTGCACCCTGGGGGCTGGGCCAGGGTCAGTGCAGCATGCAGGACCAGGGAAAGAATCATGGTCTTTACACTTGCCAAAGCAGGTGCTTAGTCCACTAAGTTATCTGGCCAGCCCCCTCTTTATTTTAGATAGCCTCTGAGTTACTCCATGCCTCAGTTGCCCTGTCTGTATCCAGAAGGTGCTTGTTCCTCAGACAGGAAGTGAGGATTTTGTACAGTAGGTCTGTGCAGGTTCCCAGGCCCGCTGATAGCTCTGAGTGTTCTGGTTCACACCTCTTACCTGGTTTGTAACGTGCTTGTTTTCTGTGATTTTGGCTTGCCCTCTCAAGAGTCATAGCCAACCCCTTGAACCCTGCTGCAAAAGCTGGCTAAAGCTCTTTGGAGCCAGGCAGTTGCCCTTCCCGCCCTGGCATCTCACTGCCTTGCAGAGGCTATGCTTTGCAGGAATGACAGACACTGGCATCAAATTCCTTTGCCACCTGCCTCCTCTTTGAGGCAAGTTTGCGGCAAAAATCCTTTCTCTTGTCCTATGCATTCCTTTATTGAAGGATTTCTGTGAGAATCAGGGGTAATTCATTGCTTTTTTTGTTCTGTTCCTCAGTCTTCAGACACAGCAGTGGCCAGCAGCTCAGTTCATTGACCTGACCAGGGAAAATAGCTGAGTAGGATTGGGAGTGGGGTAGAGATCACCCAGATGCTTTCCATTGGCCCTGAGTGACCTCAGGCTGCTGATGCAACCAATGTCCTACTGTGGGCTGGGGACCAGGGAATATGCTGGAAGATGCTGGAGTCCCAGTGAGAGAGTTTCTTGTCTTAATGCAGGACATTCTGCAGGGAGCAGAAGAGTCTCATCAGGGTAATTCTGGAAATAACAACAGCAGCCCTCAGTGGAGAGAGGTTTTGTTCTTTACTTTACATCAGGCAGGAGGAGGCTTTGGATCCATACTGACTTCTAGTATTCTTTGTCTTGCTGGAAGAATTAATCCATTTACATCATTATTTGGCTGTCTCTTATCTCAATCAGGGTATGGCAGGCAGTATTTGGCCCTGTGCTCTTAGATAAGAGTCTGAAGTCTTAGAAATTCTGAAATATGGCAGGTGGCCTTGCAGGGGTTTTCAGCTGCTTTGGACAAAGCTGAGAAGTAAAAGGCTAGCAGTCAAAGTTGTGGTGATGTCAGATCAGTGCCCTGAGACTCATGGGGTTCCAGCGCCCCTAATCTAATCCCGTTGGGCATTTTTAACAATGCCAAGCTGGTAAATAAATGCACTACACAGCCCAAAGGCCAGAATTCAGAGCTCTTATCCCAGCACAAATGGGCCCTGGTGGTGTTTGCTCATAACCTTTTCTCTCACCACACCCCGTAGCTCTTGGGAGGAGCTAAGAGCCAGCGGCAGTGCCAGGATGCTGCCTATGCTCGCACCCATGTTCAGCTGCCTCTCGGGTCCCGTCACAGCCTTCTTGCTCAACCACAGCGTGCTCAGGATGGAAAGGGCTCTCTCCTCTTTGGAAGACAGCGTGGAGACCAAAGCTGTGGTCTCTTTCTCAGGCTTTCTGTAGCCAGCCTGTGCTGGGGCAAAGGAAAGTACTTCATGGCCCAAAGGCACAGGAAGATGGAACGACAAGGGGTAGGCCGGGTGCTCAGGATCCTCCGGAACCAGCTGCCTCGACTCCGAGCAGGTCAGGACAGGACTGCCCACTTCCTTTTCATTAGGGTGAACCTCTTAAACCAGTCTGTTTCTTTCTTAAAGTGCTCCTTCCTCTTTTTCCTTTGGGTGCCTATCGCCACAGCCACATGGCCCCCCATGTGACCAGGGCAGGAGATTTCCCCTGCTGGCCTAAGAGCTGGGGTTGCCCTGTTGGAGGATGGAGTGCTCATGGTTCTATGCCCCTTGGGCTTGTTCTGGTCATTTAGAAAGAGTCTACTCTGAGGCATACTGCTCCAGGATGGCCCTGGGCACACCTTATAGGTAAGCCGAGACTTGTCGCGCCCTGGGGCACAGGGCCTCCACAAAACTCTGGTATATTTCCTCAGCTGCCACAAGAGTGGTTTTTTCCTCCTTTCAGCTCTTTTCTCCCTGGTTTTGAGGTTCCCAGGTGGGTGTGGAAACTGCCCACTTGGCTCCAGTCCTGTTGGGTGACTGCTGGCGCTGGTCAGGCCCTCGGTATCTCAGTGCCGGCAAGGTGGCTTCAGGGTGTGGAAGCTACTCAGATTCTCTCAGATTTACAGAATGGGTGGATGAAGTACTCAAGAGGGAACTCGGTGTTTTTGTTTTAGGACCTCACCAGGACAATCCAGGGGAAGGTGCCAAGGAACTAGAGAGGACCCAGGAGCACGCTCTTCCCAGCTTTGCTGGGGGGCAGCACTTCTTTGAATACCTTGTAGTGGTTTCTCTCAAAAAGAAGCGTTCGGGGGATGACTATGAGCCCACCATCACCTACCAGTTCCCCAAGGTAAGGCGTGAGAAAGGCTGGGGAATGGGGCATGGAGGATCGGGGTGTTTGCAGGGCAACAGTGGGACTAATGTCATTTCCTTTTCAGCCCAGCCTGAGCTTATTGCTATCACCCGCAGAATCTAGGTCTGACTGCTCTGTGCCTGACTTGCGGAGGTTCCTAGCAGGGAAACTAGGCTAGAGCTCGTGCCCCTCCTGGGGCCTGAGAGTTCTTCCCAATTTTATGTCTCCTTAAAGACATTTACCTTCTGCCAGACCTCCTCGAGGGAATCCCCTCCGTGGGCAGTGTGGGCAGGAGAGGGTGGAGTAGGCACCATCTGGGGGCAGGCCCAGGACTTGGTCACAGCCAGGAAGCAGGCTCTTTTTTGTGACTCTGCACTGAAGGGGAGGGTGAGAATAGAGCATCCTTCTTGTTCATCTCTTTTGTAGCAGGTGCAGCTACAAAAGAACCAGCTGTTTCTCTTTTCTGATGTGGTCATTTTCTGACATTGCTCTCCTAAGGGGGTTGGGCAAGTCAGCGCATTTCTATCCGCAGGGTGTCTCTGACCTCCTTCCTGAGTGGCCCCCAAATTCATGGAGCCCAGGAAGAGCTATCTTACCTTTGGGCTCATCCCTGCCAGACCCAGAATGTAGACTATACAGATTGTAGTGAAAGGTGCCCTTCAGTCCCTACGCCAGTGGAAAAGCTTATCCTCAGCTGCCTGTAAAGCCTCTAAGGAAGCCTCACTAGCGCTCTGGCTCTGCCCTCCTCCCACCCCACAGTCCACGTATGTCTTTTTCTTTTCTTTGTAGAGGGAGAATCTTCTTCGGGGCCAGCAGGAGGAGGAGGAGCGGCTGCTCAGTGCCATCCCCTTGTTCTGCTTCCCAGACGGGAATGAGTGGGCACCTCTCACCGAGTATCCCAGGTAACCACCAGCCCCTGCAGAGGCAGAATGGTGGTGAAAGGACGCGGGACACGTGTGAGCTCTTGCTTTCTGTGCCGCCACAACCTGGTGTGCATGCCGATCCCATGCTAGGGATGGACTGCAGTTGATGCCTTTCTGAAGATGGTGCAGCAAGGTCCTTAAAGATTTTAGTTGCGGTTTGACTTTGTTCAAAGATGAACGAGATTCTCTCATTTGTCCTAGGAACAAAGATCATTGTTTTCCATTCTGCTACTGGCAGGAGCTGGGCTCACCAGAATGAAGAGCCTTAGAGCGCGAGCTCTGGATGTTCACTGCTTGTTTAAATTTTGGCTTCTTCACTTAGAAGTCGAACTTGGATAAGAAACAGCTTTTCACAGCCTCATTTCCTTCCTCTTTAAAGGGGAGACAATAATTGACCCTACCTCAGAGGTGTTTTGAGAATCAAATGAGGTGACACACTTGGGGTATGACACTAACGAGCACTCAATAAATTACTGGGGTTATGACTGCCACCCCTGATCAGTGGCCCCTTTTGGTCTTCCACACCTGACACAGACTGTCTTCCTTTATTAGAATTAGCAAGCAAATGCCAACTAAGCCTTGTCTGTTCTTTTTTAGGGAGACTTTCTCTTTTGTCCTGACCAACGTGGATGGGAGCAGGAAGATTGGATACTGCAGGCGCCTGTTGGTCTGTGCTGCTCAGAACTGCCCCCCTTCTCTAAAGACACTCAGTTCAACAGCTGGGCTATTTAAGCCCAGCTCCAAAGCCTAAACTTCCCGGAAATGTGGTTGTAGGCAGCACAGCCCATTGCCTACTACCATGTCCACATCCCCTTTTATTTCTTGCAAGAATTAAGACAACGGTCTCTCCTAGCCCACCCAGGAAACCTCTTTAACCAGGTTCTGAGCTGTGTGCTCCTGGCTGGAATAGCTCTATCCTCGTGAGCATCTCTACCTGGCCCCTCTCCCAGTCTTCTCTGTCTAGGCCCACTTGGGGCCTGGAGCTTGGAGCCTCTCAGAACAAAGTCTGGGATTCTGACAGTTCAGTTTAAGTGCTGGGTGTCAGGATTCTCCATGGCATTTTCACAGTGATTTCTTCATCTCTGAGACACAAATGTGTCTGAGACACATCCTCAGAACCTGTGGGCCCTGAAGGCAGCAGTGGTTCTCTACTTTTCTGAAGGCAACCTTCTTTTGATCTTAGTCACCATTTTGACCCTGTTAATGCAGAGCCAGGCTTTCTCCCCTGGGCCACCATCCCCCACTGACTCCCCACCCCCAGTGCTCAGTCTTACACCCCATTAGGTCCGTGTAAGAGAAGCCCCTGGGGGAGGGCACAGCACTGAAGAAATATTTTATCTTCTCAGCCTGCTGGCCCTGGCCCTCGCCTTCCAAAAGTGTACTGCATCATCAGCTGCATCGGCTGCTTTGGCTTGTTCTCCAAGGTAGGGGCGGGACAGGATTCCTTGGGGCCTGTTAGGCTTGTTCAGCTTCTGGGATCTGCCTGGGTGTCTGCCCTGCCTGTGCAATGTGAGCCCCGAGTGGATGGCCTAGCTGGCATCAAGACATTTGGGGAAACTGAAGTGGGGGGTTTGGGGCTGACTTAACTTTAAGGAACTTTAGAGGACTGCCTCTAAACCACTTTCCCCACTCTAGGTAAATAAGAAAGCAGTAGAGGTGGTACACATCTGTGATCCTAGCACTTGGGAAGCTGAGTTTGAGGCCACCCTGGGCTATATAGTAAGTTCAAGGCCAGCCTAACTACATAGTGAGAACTTGACTCAAAAGAAAGAAAGAAAGAAAGAAAGAAAGAAAGAAAGAAAAGAAAAGAAAAAGAAGAGCAACAGCAAAAAGCAGTTGAAGCAGAACAAAAGAGGACCTTCAAGAATGTCTTGTCCTGAACTCGTAATTTCCTCAACTATCCAATGGAATTAATATTCTCTTACTGTTCTTTCTCCTGTACTGGTATATGGCTCAAATGAAGTGATACAGAAGTCTTTTTACATAAAACAAATATAAAAGTAATCATCATAAATTAGGGACCCTGACACTTGCTGTGACCTCTCTGAGCAGAGAAAGGAAGTTGAGGTCCTCAGCTTCCACTCATGCTGTTTCAGGGACCAACTAGAGTGTCAGGACACCTGAGCCAAGATCTGAAAGGGCTTCTTGGTGGCAATCAAGGGCTTTGTTTTGTTCTGCTCCAGCAAGACCCTGGGAGGAGGAAAAAAGAACTTTGTCAGCCTTGGCTTGATTGGAACTGTCATTTGTGCAATGTTGAGGGTTGGAGGCAGCCCCTGCCTCTGGGGAGTGGTTAGTGATAACTGGAGGAGAGGGTGACACCTACAAGGTTAGACTACTAGCATCATAGTCCTGAGAGCACCATCGTGGGTGATGAATTTATGCCAGATGACTTTGTGGGGTCAGTTGTTTTAGAAGAAGAGACAAACACGGATTGGTAAAGACAGAAAAAAAAAAAAAAAGGCTGAGAAATAGCACATCTTGTTCAGGAGGCAGCAGATTTAGTATGAGGCCAGTCTCTTCAAGGGAGGGTGAAAAAACATTCTGGTGGCTGGGCCTAGAGTTACATGAAAAGAAGCTGGACCGTACAACAGCCTTACAGGTGTCTCCTGCAATCCTTTCCTGCAGATCCTGGATGAAGTGGAGAAGAGGCATCAGATTTCCATGGCTGTCATCTACCCGTTCATGCAGGGCCTCCGAGAGGCAGCTTTCCCTGCTCCTGGAAAGACTGTCACCCTCAAGAGCTTCATCCCTGACTCAGGCACAGAGGTGGGTTAGCACATGGGTAAGGAATCCCTGGCTGGAGAGGGTAGGCTTCTGTGGCACCTCTCACCCCTCTTCTTCCATTCACCAGGTTAAAGTATAGAGAAACTGAGCCAGGAGGGGACTGGGACTTGGTTAGAATTATTGGCAGAGCTGAAAAATCAAACCTAAATTTCCTGAGCCTTCTAACCTGATGTCCACAAGCACCCAGTTACTGTTCAAGCCACCAAGACTTTTATTTGTGATCAATATACCATGTAAGTTGAGGTTTTTGGTGCGAGAAGGACTTTGTCCCCCCTAGCCCCCAAACTGCCACTTGCCCCTACACCTGTCCCTTATTCTGTGTACCTATCCTATATCTCTACCTCACGGCCTCCATCTGTCTAGTTCTTATCACCCATCCCCACCCTCGAGTTCCTGCCCATGCTCCCTGGGGATGCCATTAGTCCAAGGCTTACACAGACTGAGGCAGCAAGTAGAACTTTGGTCCTGAGCCCTGGAACTCTGGAGAGTCTGTGTGCCGTCCTGAACCTTGGCCTCCGCACAGAAAAATAAGGGAGAGGCTAGGATTTTTTTCATCTACTCAGAAAATAAGTACAGAATGACTGGTGATTACCAAGCTTTCCTGTTTCCTGGGGACATGGTGGTGAGCAAAATGAACATGGTTCCTGACATCATGGAACTATGGGTCTGATAGGAACGACAGGTATTAAATAAGTGAACACACCAATGAGTATATAATTAAAGATTATGTTATTATGATAAAATGAAGAGCCAGAGTGCTCATGAGAAAAAGATAAGCAGTGTCAGATGGCAAAGAATAGGCCTTTGAGGCCTTAAAAGGGGTAAGGATGAAGGGAGGGGAGCACCGCAGGAGAAGCCAACCCACAAAGGGTTGCATGGCAAAGTGCCCTCTGCTCCAGGAGTAGAGGCCGCCATGGTGAAACAGGTAGAGAGGGGAACGTGCTCCAAGCAGGCTCTCATGTTATGCTGGAAATGACACTATGCTGTCCTCATGAGCTGAATGCCATTGGTGGCTTTTAAAATGGGAAACAGGAAGGATTAGTTTTCTGCTGTGGAGAGAATGGAATAGGGCAGGTAGAGACCCAGCATTCTGGTTCCTGCATGATTTTGCAGGTGTGATAACATCTCTCTCTCTGATTTTCCTACAGTTCATTTCTCTGACACGGCCCCTGGACTCCCACCTCGAACATGTGGATTTTAGTTCTCTGTTGCACTGTCTCAGCTTTGAACAGATTATTCAGATCTTTGCCTCTGCAGTACTGGAAAGAAAAATCATCTTCCTGGCAGAAGGTCTCAGGTGGGCCCGGACACTGAATGGCCGGCTGGCCTTCATCCTGCATGGAAGGGAACAGGGTGGAGTTTCTCAAAGGAAGTCAATCTTCGGGACCTGTGTGCCTACCCTGGGGCTTCTAGTTTCTGGATTTGTAACCTAGAGCTGTTGCAACCCTTCTGCCCCATCTCCAAACTTGACTGCTGTCAAGGCCTGAAAAACTTTCCAGATTTAGTTCTGAGAAGGACACAAAGAGTTCCTGGGGCAGCTTAGACAGAACCAATTAGGGTGGAAGCAGGTATGACTTTACCTTTGTAAGGCCAGGGAGGGAAAGAGGGCGGAGAACAAGACAGGAAGGTATGTAATGATATAGAGAACATCTATCTATTTGTTTATTTATTCAGCAAACATTTATTTTGTGTCAGTTGTTTGCCAGATGCTGAGCATGGGGAAGATACCAGGGAGAGTTGGTCTTTGGCCTTAAGGGGATGCGGAATTATGTAATAGCTGTTAGCATGAAACTCAGCAGACTGAGTTTTAAGTCCTGTTCTTCCAGTATACTTTAGGTCAGTTTCTTTTCCTAAAGTCCTGACTCTTATTAACTGTACAATGGAAGTCACTGTACCTAACTGGTAGGGTTGTAAAGGAAGTAATAGGCGCATACTGAGCACCTAGCACCCTGCTGCGTGTGTTCCTGACCGCACATGGCTGTTCTTAGTAAGTTCACTGTTAAGTATATCCCTGTCAGTAGTCCAAACAGGTCACTGCCATGATTTACCTCCTGCTTCTGAGAACTTGGGCAGGGGTTGGAGTCTCTGTTGAAGACTGTAAGAAAACCAGTGAAAATCAAACACAGCGTATTACAGGAAATACCTGTAAGTTAGTCTTTGTGGGCAGGGGCATCGTCTTTTGCCTTGAAAATGGCTCTTCTGCTCCAACTCTGTGTGAAAATGAATTTCTGTTGTTCATGGGTGGCACTGTGGCCCTGTCTTTCAGATTAGTATTTATAAAGTGGAGGCATTTACCTTTTAGGAGCAAACTTTCTCCAGGGAAATGTCATGACTGCCTTTTCCTTCCCACACTGAGCTTTCAGATCTGAGTCTCTCAGTGGGAGGGGACTTCCATACAGCTCTTCCGCTAGAAGCTTAGCCGCTCACTCTTTCTAACTCAGGAAGTATTAGCTTGATAACAAGAATTGAAACAAGGTTTCCGCATCAGTGTTTTTATTGGCCTTGGCTTTGGGGCAATTTGGCCGAGAAATGAAGAGCTGTGAAGCCAGTGTATGTGTGTGACAGGAAGGACAGGAAAGGCTGCGTCGTGCCTCGGGTGCTAATGACAAGGACTGCTTCCTTGCAAAGGCTAGAGAAGCCACCTCTGTGGGACTTTCCAGTGAGGAATTGTCAGGCAGAGGTTCCTGGAACCTAGGAATTTCCCAAACTCACTCAGGCACCAACCTGGTAGCTTTCAGTAAACTCAGTGGCCATGGAAAGCCATGGCAGTTAGAGCTGAGGATGATGGGAAAGAGATATAAAAAAAGCTCTGCCTTTCTTCTGGGGCCCCATGGCCTCCTAACTGTCTCCTCCATAAGAGCAGAATCAGTGTAATTTTCCTCTGGTACCTGCATCCTTACCACAGTGCTGAGCACATGGAAGAGGCGGGGTCACTTCTGTGAACAAAGATACCTCTTTCGAGCCACTTTAATTCTGCTAAGAAGTTGAGAAGACTAACCAAGGAAAAAAGATCAAATCGAGGCCCTATTCATTCTGGGTAGTGAACCCATGCCCTCCTCTTGCTAATGACAAGAGCTACGAGCTCTGTGACCAGTGTGGCTGCCAGATTTTTTAAATCTATACCAGCACAGGCAGCGCTTACAGGAGGCGCTGAGCCCAGAGTGAATGTGTAAGGTGGAGTAATGGGCGCCTTCTGACTTGTTCTTGTTCTCCACTCCAGCACCCTGTCTCAGTGCATCCACGCTGCCGCCGCACTGCTGTATCCCTTCAGCTGGGCACACACCTATATTCCTGTTGTCCCTGAGAGGCTCCTTGACACTGTCTGCTGCCCCACCCCCTTCATGGTTGGCGTACAAATGCGCTTTCGGCAGGAAGTTATGGACAGCCCAATGGAAGAGGTATGCTGCTGCATGAACAGGGCATTATTTACATCCAGGCAGGCCTGGATTTGGATCCAAGCTCTGCTACCAACAATTAGATAATTTAAGACAAGTTACTTAATCTCTTTAAGCCTGAACTCCCTGATGGGTTAAATGGGGACAATAATGTTCAGTTCCTAGCCGCTCTCAGGGAAACCACCTGTACAGAGCTTCCCCTGGTGCATGGCACACAGTTCATGCTTAATAAAGGCTGGCTCTCTTCTACTGAATGATTTTTCTTTGGTCTTAGGGAGTGGTGCATAACTTATCTGGGAGTCATGAGACTGTCCCGCACCAGCTAGCTTTGACAAGCAGCCTCTGAGATGTCCCATCTCTCAGCTGAACAGATGATCCCAGCTGGTTTGCATAACATAAAACCCACTGGAATTCCCTCAAGTTTTTGGGAAGTAAGCCCTCCTATGAGGACTACTAAAATCATCAAGTTTTTAAAAAATGCAGATTGTTTTTTCTTTTTTTGTAACAGGGCCCATCTCTCTGAGTAGCCCAGATCTTAGCTGGTAAACGAGGATTTAGGTTCAAATCCCCTTTGATGTTGTTAGTTTATTTCTTGGTCATGCCCCTGACACAGCAGAGGGCTCTGCTGTGAAAATGGGCATGTACTGCATCAATCTGTCCCTGACGTTTGAAAAATAACATGTTAGGAGGAACTTTAAGGATGTTCCCACACCTGAAGGAGAGCTACCTGGAAATGTTTGCACTAGCTAACCATGGATTCACTTGCTCTAGGCAGAAAGGACCTATCTGGGGAAGTGGAGTCTGGAGTCTGGAAATACGCCTCTAAAGAGGCCTGGAGCCAGCCCTAAGGAGTGGCGCTCCCCATGTTATGTTAAGAGATAGCTGAGCTCAAAAGCACCAAAGAGCTGTAGAGGAGCCCACCCAGGCAATCCAGCACAGACGAGAACAAGGTTGTTTAGGAAAAGGCACTGCTGGGCAGGACAGAAGCAGGCTGGTTCCCTTCTTTGCGCCTCTGCCTCTCTCACCCTTGCTTCGAGCCGCTGAGTACACATGCCCTTTGAGCTGCCCTTAGCCTTGTGACTAACTGGGACAGAGTATTTGCCCCATGTTTAGCAATAAAATTTCAAATGTCCCAACCCCAAAAGTTATGAAAGTTCCTGACCCTGTAGTTTCAGCTCCTCAGAAGCTGGGGCCCTCCCCTGATGGTCAGGCTTGAAGACAACTGGAATGCCAGGAGGAGTCTGGCTCCTATGATCCAGGCTTATTTTATTACTCAGCAGCTGCTTTGAGAAACAGGCAGGGAGTGAGGAGGAAGAAGGCCATGTGGTCAAAGAGGGAGTGGGAGACTCTCTGACTCTACATGGGGGCATGGGATGGGATTATTCCATGGAGAGTAATATGCTCAGATACTTCAGACTGCAGGAAACAGCTTCAAAAAGAATTCTTCATAACACTTTTTCCTCCCAGCTCCCCCAAAGAAAAGCTGTCCCTGCTTGAAGGCATCTGAGCTTGTGTATGCAAGTGGGTTCACGCCTGAACTGGTTCAACTTTTCTCCCCCGATGGATAATTACAGTGCACGCAATTTTTTTTTTTTTTTGGCGTATTTTCAGTCTCTTTTTTCATGCTTGTATTTGGAAAGAAGCATGTAAAGATCCTTTACTCTTGTCAAGAACAAGGCCACAAACTGAAGAGGATCCCTCCATAAGTCCCCAAATATATGGCACATGATTAGGGTAACAGTGGCACTGGTGACCGACCATAAGTCACTTGCCTAAAGTGGGCAGCTAGACCCAGTCCTAGCCCAGGCCTGGTGAGTGTGTGGGACAGCCTCCGGCTACCCTGCGCCGGCGGGACCTACTGGTCCCAGCCCAGGTGCAGAGTGGGTGAGACCCTCTTCCACCCCCTTCGGATGCCCCCCCACCTCTGCAGCACCTCCCCCACCCCGCCTGCCGAGTAAGAATTTCTGCCGCGTTCCGCAAACCCCCAGACCCAGTCCTAGTCCAGGCCCGGTGAGTGTGTGGGAGAGCTGCCTCTCCCCCTACTCCACCTTGTCCCCTCCAGACTCAGCTCAGGCCTGGCATACAGGCCTGGGGTGAAACCCTTCAGCTGCAATCCCTGCAGAAAGTATATGGGACAGAACCACCCAGCTAGTCCAGGAGCAGAACATCTTGCCAGAGGGGCACAACAGGTTCACCCCCAAGGACAGCAACAGGAAGGAACTGAGCACAGCAGCCAGACCCAAGCCAGGCCCAGCTGGATAAATCCAAACTTTGCAGATCTACACCTGAACTTCAGTAGGTGCTAAGGCTATAACTGCAACAAAGATCTACAACAAAGGTCAGAAGACAGAGCTACACAAAACGACAATGGGAAGGAGCAAAATGCAATCTCAGAACCCAAGCCCACCCATAACAAGTGCAGAGGACAGTAACACAGAACAAATTGGGAATCACACAGCTGAAAGCAAAGAATCAACGGCTTCGAAATAAAGAAACAGCTGCAGAAAGGTATAGAGGAATTCAGATTGGAAATAAAAAAAGAAATCCCTGAATTAATAACATCTGCAGTAAAGAATCAAATGCAGAAACATATGGAGGAAACCCAAATGCCCACCCAGAACAAATGAAGAGGACACTAGCTTGGCTCAAATGTATGAATTAATAGTGTTGATAGTAAATAAGCAACAGCAGAAAGTCATAGAGGATCTCAGACTGGAATTCTTTTCTACTAGCTCAGCTCAAATGTACGAATTAATAGCGTCAATAGTAAATAAGCAACAGCAGAAAGTTATAGAGGAACTCAGAGCGGAATTCAAAAGAAAACTGAAATAAAAAAAGAATTCTCAACTCATAGCATCTGAAGTAAAGAATCAACTACAGAAACAGGGAGGAAACCCAATCTGAAAAAAACACTGCAGTAAAAGAATTTATAACTGCTTCTCAAGAAGACATTGATAAAAAAATAGAGATTAGAAAAATGATGGATTCCTTGAATGAGCAATATAGGAAAGAAATAGAACGTATGAAGCAGAGTCAAAGAGCTATAGAGGAAATTAAAATCTAAAGTGGGCAGCTGAGTATTGCCCTTTAAAATGTGGAGCAGAGTTAGAACTCCTGACCTTTTTGAAATTCCAAGTCAAAGTTTAAGGTAAAATATCCTAACTCAAATAGTAGGAATTAATGCAGTCTTTTAAAAAATATTCTGAGGACCAGGGAAAGACCTGGTTGGAATCAGCTGGCAGCATGCCTGATTTTGTCATTTCTGGCCTGTATTGCAGACCCCATAGGCTGTGATGGACCCAAGTGCCAGCCTGTGCTTGTTTCACCTGTAGCTTATTGGCACAGTGTCTTTTCACCTAGTTTTCCTTCCCTCTTCCGATTGACCCTGGGCTTCTTTCCTCCCCTTGTTGAGTTTCCTGTTGAAGGACTAAGGCTTCAAAAGAATTTTTATTAGAACCCTAGGCAGTTGTACATAAAGTTGTTGTAACCATGAAAAGATCAAAACATGTCTACCTGTCCTGGAGCTGACCAGCGAAGAGGGAGTGGAAGAGGAGCTGTAGAGAGAGAAATGCAATCCCAGGGACAGTGCAAGCTAGGCTTAGCAATTATTCTCTTTGTTAGCAGTGTATCAACTTCTTTGGTCCTTTTTTCATCTGCAAAAGAGATAATACCTGACTCACAGAATTGTTAACATTAAATGAGACAAAATATGCAAAGTGCTCATCATGGGTGCCATGTTCAAAATGCTCCATATATGGAAGTAATTTCTCTGATCAATGTTTCACTAAAGAAGTGACTGGCTATTTCTCTCTATCCTACTTTCTTTCTACCTTGGCTCTTTCTTCTCCCTTTTCTAGACACACACTCTTGCCCCAAGAAGGAAACTGAGATTTTCATGACAGGAAACAAGAATTGAAGTTGATTTTGTTGTGCTGTAGGCCCAGTTATAACCACAGGCAGAAATGGGGTGGTAAGTCCTCCTTAGAGCTATGAAGCAATGAAGTCATTTTCTGTTTACTTCAGGTCCTGTTGGTGAATCTTTGTGAAGGAACATTTTTATTGTCTGTAAGTATCTGGTTTTAGAGCCCTTATAGATCCACTCTCAATTCAAACCCTCTAGCCTCATCATGCTTTACTTATTTCAACAAACATTTTGAGAATTGCTAAGAACCCCTTTCTTGTATTTGTCTTTTTGACTTTTGAGATAGGGTCTTGCTATGTAGTTCAGGCTGACCTTGAACTCACTGTCACCCCAGCTGGCCTTGAATTCACAGCAATCCTCCTGGCTCAGCCTCCCGAGTGCTGGGATTGCAGCCATGCATCACTGTGGCTGGCAAGAACTCCCTTTTCTTGAGGTCTTGAAGACCCAGACGATGTCACTATAAGGCAATTGATACCTTTCAAACACAGGAACAGGGAGTCCTTTGATGATCTAGAGCCAAATTGAAGATGAAATATTTTCTGTTGTTTCTCTACGTGGGCGACTACTGGGGTGTGGAGTCGGGTATGGAGCTTGTGCCCTCATATTCTTCTGCCAATCCCCTCCCTCGCCACCTCTTCTCTCTACCTCTGAGCTCACACTGTCCTCTCCTAGGTTGGTGATGAAAAAGACATTCTACCACCAAAGCTACAAGATGACATCTTAAACTCTCTCGGTCGGGGGATTGAGTTAAAGAGTAAGTTCTTGCTCTTTTTTTTCTTAATATAAGAAATAAACAATGGTTTTTATATTGCATATTACCTTCATAGTAGTTGCTCAGATTACCAGATACAGGCTTGCAAAATTGAGCAAACAATAAACCACTAACTGTTCCTTTGAATTAACCCATGGAAATTAAATACAATTATTCTAGCTCATTCTTATGTGAGTTCGCCTAGAGAACTTCAGGGCATAATTCCTAACCATTTCCTTCCAGAATTAAAATGGACTTAGCAGTTCTGGGGCTGCCCCAGAGACCCAGATCCTAGAACAAGTCTGAATATGGGTTTTATTTTTCCTGAGCAATGGCAAAGAACTCATAGCCAGGGTCATGAACAAGTCAGTGATTATGGACCCTATGCCAACTGCTCTCCTTGGGAACTTTGGGCCTGTAATGAGAACTATATATGGAGATGACTTTGGGCAGTTTTATCCTTCTGCTACCCTTTGAGATGACCTTTATCTGTCCCTTGCAGCTCCAGAAGAAATCAATGAGCATGTTTCAGGTCCTTTTGTGCAGTTCTTTGTCAAGACGGTGGGCCACTATGCTTCCTATATCAAGCGGGAGTCAAACGGGCAAGGTTACTTCCAAGAACGCTCCTTCTATAAAGCTCTGGCCTCCAAGACCAACCGCCGATTTGTGAAGAAGTTTGTGAAGACACAACTCTTCTCCCTTTTCATCCAGGAAGCTGAGAAGAGCAAGAATCCACCTGCAGGTACAGTTCAGAAAACTCAGGTCTCACTCCAGGGTGGGTCACCTCTACAGGGGCAGGCAGTCTTTCCCCGAGATCCACAAAACAGCCGTAAATTTTTTTAATGAGACTGAAAGTCCCCTGAAAATTAAGACAGTGCCTCACAGACTGATAGTTTATAAAAGCTGGTCTGTTGATTAGTTGGAAGGACATCTTTTTTCTTTCATTTTAGGGCCAATCTCTGTGAATTATCATTTGTAAACTCCTTTTTGGGCCAAACAGTTCTGTATCTCTAGAGGCCTATGACAGTCTGAGCACAACAGCAGCAATGGATGTATGGGGGAGGTGAGGGACACAAAGCATATTTCCCACCCTTATTTCTGAGTTCATTATTGCTTGCCTGGTCACATTAGATGCCTCTAACACATTTGAACCCACAGGTTATTTCCAAAAGAAAATACTTGAATATGAGGAACAGAAGAAACAGAAGAAAACAAGGGAAAAGACTGATACAAGAACTGTGGTGAACAGGAGAGACTAGACCTATAGGTCAGTTGTGGACTTTGGTCCCTGCCAGTGTGGTAGGACTGGCAACTCTCAGCTTCTAGAATTCACTGCTTCCGAGTCCTGAGTCCCAGTGACTGGGTCTTGCTTCAAACCGGTATACGAGTTTGGGATCCTTGGTATCAACCTCCCTAGGACTTTTGAGGGCTTTGTCCCCAAACTCAAAGAACTGGACTCCAAACTACGTGTTTTTCAGAAGAGGCAGAGCAGGAAACAGCACTGGTGTTGTAGGTGCTTGGTTGGAATGCACTGTAAGCTATCATCTCCTGGAAGCCATTATTAGAAGATCCTGCACAGAGAAAGGCCCCAAAGTGTGGTTCCTTCAAACAAACAAACACATGGAGGTCTGAGGACATGTGAGGATGAGAGTTAAGATGAAAATCGTGTTCTGTGGGGCAATACATGAGAGAATAAACTGGACTAGAAGTGGGCTGTGGTTGGAGTCACAGAACCATATGGGGCAGAAGCTTTATTTTTTGAGGTGGCAATGGGGATTAAATCTAGGGCCTCTGTATTGAGCTTCATTTTCAGTCTTTTTTTTTTTCTTTTCTGAGAGTCTCACCTAAATCACAAAGTTGTGACCCTACTGCTTCAGCCTCTCAGACAGCTGAGATTATCCATGTACGCTACTATGCCAGGGTAGCAACTCCACTTCTGACAGGAAGGTCAAAAAATCCTGGTAAAGGCAGCAGCAGCACCAGACACAAGGCAGCAGTCTGGTTCTCAAGAGGTCCTTCTAGGCTGCCAGCTGCCAGAGAATCTCAGACAACAGAGGCTAGCATGGATACTGCCTGGCTTTTGTAAATAGGCTGACTGCCTACCACTCCGTCTGGACCAGTACTTTACCGTCTGTCTTACACATCCTACCTCCACCTGCTTGTTATTTTGAGAAACGTTTTTTTTTTAAGCTAAAGGTGGAGGGATCCCTGACTTGACACATATTTTTCTGCAGCCCCCCCAACCCCCCCGAATAATCACTATAAGCATCCAAAGCTGAGCTCCTCCTCCCTTTATGCTTCCACTAGCAGCTTCTGTTTAAACATTGCAGGACACAGGGAACATTTTTAGGTGGATCTCTTTCAAAAATGTTACCTTTAAAAATGTGTTCAAGTGTGGATCTCAGGTTTGACTCTTACAAAGAGAATATTTTGGAGAGCAGAATAGGGGAGAGAGGTAGCGAACTAAAGCCAATGTGGCTGATTCTGAGATACGGCACATGTTCCACTGTCCACACCACCGTAACTATGCTGCTATGCTCGACAGCCTCAAAGAATCATTACACCCTTTTGCATTAATTTGTGACTAGTTTCCAAACCTAGTTGTACCTCAAAACGTTTTAGAACAGAACGAGAATGCTGAGCAGCTTATGAAAATACTGGTGACAGGATCTGGAAATTGGTAGTTTTTAAAAGCTTCGTTGGCTGAACTTGATAGTTGGGAAGGTAAATACACAAGAATCAGGGCTGAGGTTTTCTATAAATGTATCCTAGATCTGATGCTGATAGTAGCACTGAAGGAAGCATACATGAGTATCTGGTGCTTTTCCAGTTTCCCTTTATTCTTAAGAAGATTCTAAAACATACATTTCAATTAGCCTTGACAGGATGGTTTTCAGCTTTGTCTGGTAAAGAAGAAAACACTGGAACCGAATTCAGAAGATCTGGATTTTAGTCTCCAATATGAAAAATATCAATACTGGGTGACACTGATACACCATCTAACTCCTCCCACCTTGAATTTCTATTGTAGGTAATGAACACCTGCTAAGTGTAGTATGATAATCAAGTAAAACAACAGATACAACTACATCCAGTAAGATTTATCCTTCCATCTTTCTCACGCTTTGTCCTAGCTTTCAAAACTTGAGTTGCCCTAGAATTTTTCTACCCTGAAAGTTGGAGAGGTTGCTAGCAAGAAAAGGTAATGAGAGATTTCTTTTCTATGTGAAGACTGGCAAAAAAAGAGAAAATTTTTAACACTCTTTGCCAATTCAGATGTACACCGAATTGTTGGAACCATTACAAGTGCAAGAAATTATGGTCCCTGCTGCTAGACAAGGCAGTGCAATTACTATTTATTTGTGATTGTGGAAGAAGATATTAATAAAAGTCATTAATAAGATACCTTTATAGCCTTAAATATTTTGTGTTGTCTCCCTCTTTATGTAACAACAGAACATCTATATAAAAAGTAAAAAGATCTGTTTCATAGAAGATACTTAGCTCCTATTTCAAACTGTAGTATAAGTATTGGGAAGAAGAGTAACAAAAAGCAAAGTGCAAGTGACCCCGCTGGGAGGCCCACGCAACTACCAAAAATGTCAGGGAAAGGTCTGAAGTTCCCAAGTGATGGAGAATCACAAGGATAACTATTGCAACACAACTCATGCGAGGGAAAATGATCAGTTCTCTTTTTAAGTTAGACAGTTTCTACCAGACAGGAAGGCCTGACAACATAGCAGATTGGACTTCCTTATTTATTAAAGAACAGAAATAAATTTTGCTTAATTTTTTAAAATGACATTAAAACTTAAATTTGCCTTTGCACTGAATAAAATTTCAAACAAACTGGTTTTTAGATCATATATTTATTTAAAAAAATAAAATGGATTGACAAAGTTATCATATAATGCATGCTAACAGAATTTCCCAAGCCCATGAGATAACCATTTCTTGAGCAACGATAAGACATTTTTTCCCCTCTCAATAATGTAAAGCTAGAAAACCTTTCAATCCAAATTCAAGGTCTTTCTCACTCACTGCATCTCACAAACTCGTGGGATGTATCTGTCACAAGCTGAATTTCTTAGTAAAGAAAGCTTGAGAAGATACTAGACAAGGATGTTACTAAAAGATAATGATTTGTTAAAAATATAAAGCAACCATCATTTGGCTTGTAAATATTCTACATTAGAAATCTCCACCATTTGAGACCTGCTCCACATGACAATATTATTCTGAATCCAGGATAATTAACAAACACATGGCATTTTTTCCTGCATGCTTTCTTGGGCCAAATGCTGTATGACATCACGTATAATTTACAGGATGGGACTTGAAATTCCCATTCTCACAAAGGTTAGGGAGTGTTACCAATAACAAAGAATGAAAGTTATACAACATTGATTATTATAAATTATATTTGTTCGCACCCACCCCTATTCTCCTTAATATGTTCAGATTCTTTCCTGCAGAAAACATGAGTTTCCTATGTAACACCACTACACCATCAGTGATGATTAGAATGACCCGTAGAGACCTTGATTCTGAAGACATGTATGTGTAGGTGAGACGCAATCTGATTGCAAACACTGACACAGTAGCGAATCAAATCAAAGAAAGAGAAGACCTGGAAAGAAAAGAGACCATTAGATTCTTAGCATAAGCTTAGTCCCCTCCTCAGCTTCCAGAAAGAAAGGAGGAATGGCTTCTGACTTCCTTCTCTATTCAGATTTGCTGCTGACTCTCTACAATTGAGTAATTAAACTGCCTCATGACTTTTCCTTTACATTAAGGAACAACAAACTCTTAGACAGTAAGTATGTTAAGTTCTGTGCACTGTATCACGTTTGTCACAACGTCCTAGCTGTGCTTCCACCGCATGAAAGCGGACACAGAGAGTATATAAAGGAATGGCTATAGCTGGTAATCCATCTCCAGACCCACAGACTGCAGTTTGAATTTCTGCTTTACATAGTCAGAAATTTGGAATTTGGTAAGTCCTAATATAGGCAGAACTAATAACAGTGTAAAAAAAAAAAGTGCTAAGTGTGAAGCCATCAGTGATTTTTATTCTTCTTCCTATGCAGGGATTTCTGACATTCTCAGTCCTTACAATTCTATGAGGTTTCCCTCACTGAACCAGGACAAGTCATGTCCAATTATACAGTAAGCATATATGACACTTACCAGAGCAATCCAAAGTACAATATACTCATCGATAAAGCTGTTAAAATACTGGTCCAGAAACAAAAGTGCAGGACCAATAAATGCTGTATCATGCAAATGCATTTCACTTTTGGTCATGTGTGCAACCTATGAAGAGAAAGAAATTAGTGTTGTAGGCACTTTCACATTACAGCAGCTAGGAGGAAAATAGTAACTCAGCAATATTCAAACATCTCATCTCAAGAATTACTTAGCACTGATTGCTGAATTTGCACAACTAAAAACTCACTGATATAAAGGATGCATGAGAAAGAATGAGATACACTATGTTAACTTAGCTAGCAAAAACCACTTTTTTATATGGAGCCTTAATTTGATTGTACAGATCAAAACTGGCAAGTACAGATATACTGAATAACCAAATGCAATAGAGGACAGGATGGTGAACAGTTAGAGAGGTTCAAAGGAGTTCAGGAATCCTCAGATGGTAGCTTTAAGAGTCAAAGTAGTTCTCATGTTGACATCAAGAGGTTTTTATTTTCAACTCTAGGACCAATTAGAAAAAAAACCAAAACTAAAACTAAAAACCCCTCCAGAATAAAACCATGTCCATAAAACCAAAATAGGAGGCAATTTTACAACCAACACACACAAACACACAAACACAAATTGAGGTGCTTACCACAAGCTTATTCGTAATTTTAGCTGATACAAAACCAAATGTCAGTATATAAAGACAGGGATGCTTTTCAAAAAGCTGAACTGCCGATTTCTTGTAGATCATTACAGCTAATGTAATCACTGATCCAATATGGAGGAAAGGGGAGAGTACACTTGTTCCCTATACAGCATAAGAGAAAAGTTAACAGTATTCAATACTCATTAAATATACTATGGATTTGCCATAAAGTATTGCATAGGTCTTGATTTATCTTGGTCTTAACCATCCAGCAGAAAAGTATAAAAATGAAGTATAAGAAGTAAAGCCATAGTGTTATGTTGAGCTGTAGGGGACTCGGGTCAACAATTTCTGACACTGCCAGTAAAGGGGAAGACCCAATACTATTATGGACTACTGGACCCTTTTAGAATATTTTGCTGAGTTAACACAACTATAATATTCAAATAACTGAACTAAACCAAAAAGGGAAAACAGATGAATGTCCATTTTGTATTTGTGTATGCCATAAAGTAGTTTAAGTAAAATTTTCTAGAATTTCATGGTCCTTGACAGCCAACAATTTCTATAAATGAAACACCAGAATGGCTAATGAAAAACAGCAATCTGAATTGGTAAGGTATAAATTCAAATGTTCACACAATAGGTCAGGCTTATTTTTACAAAGAAGTTCATATTTACTACAACTATTTAAATGTGTATATGCACAAAACTTAGGCATATATAGTAGCAAGTTTATAGACATACACATAAAACAAGTTATTGCCTTTTTTCCCCAAAGCTAAATAGAAATTCTAAATTAAGAAATGATTTTATAAATCTCAATTGAAAAACAAAGCAGCCATAGAACCAAGTCCTAGTTTGGAAAAAACTGAAAACCTAAAAATACTCACTGCTATTGTTGATCCATTTTTGCCAACACCACCTGTGAAGATTACTCGGAAGTAATTTGTACAGGAAAATATAGTCCCTGCTACTGTACAAAGTGCAGGAAAAATTTTCATTTGAATATTCAGCACTGGAATCTTTAATAGAGAAAAAGAACAATTAAAATATATACAAACTCAAATAATACAGTACAAATATTTGATTTTCTTTCCCAGATTCTCTCCATTCGCTCCAGTTAATGTTTCAAGCAATAGAAGCTTCTTCCTCTTCATTATGAACAATGTAACAAGTCTCAAGAAATGAGGCTGCATAAAAATAATCTCATTCTGATAGCAACCTAAAAATATAGACCCAACTTTATTAATTTGTACCATAAGCAAAGGAAGATTTTCCTAATGCATTCCAGAGGCCTGGCAACAATAACTATGCTATCTTCTGGCCTTCTCACAAAGGGATCAGCCTTGTCTTTTTTCTATTTTGAACTCTGTATCTAAATTTGTAGTGGATTCTGAATTATTGTGGGAAGCTATGGA